AAATGCAGATCCATGGATTGGAAATGCCTCCCTTTCCTTCTTTAATATATATACTAGGGGCCCGATGCATGAAATTCTTGCAAGAGTAGGCCTTTTGCAGCTGTGGCTTCGTCCAGAAGGTCGCCTGGATGGTTGTTCTGCTGTTCAGCCTTTTGGTCAATTTGCATATTATGCTTTTATTATGATAGACTAGAGGCCTCTCGCACGAAATTGTACGCAGGTACGGTCCCTAGGCCTCGCTTGCGATCAGGGCCATCTTCCCCGGCTGCCGGCAGCCGGCCCCGCCCCTCACCCCCTGCCTCCACCCACCCTGGTTCCCTGTTCCCCATGGGGGGGGGTGGCGGGGGGGGGGCGGGGGGAGGGACCGAGAGGTTGGCCATTCCCGCCCACTCGTCGGCCCCACCCCTGCCACCTGTCGCCCTCTGTGTGTGGGCAACCAGTGGGGCAGGGGCCTTGGCCTGGCACCACCTGCATCCCCCACCACCCACCCCAGCTCCCCGTTTGCCATAGGCAATTGGAGCCTGCAGGCGGGGGAAAGGGACCGAGAGGTGGTCAGTGCACCTCATAGTGACTGGTCGAGCAGTCATTCTGGTCACTGGGCTTTTATTATATAGGATATATTTTTTTATTTATTTCAGAGAGGAAGGGAAAGGGAGAGAGAGTTAGAAACATCAGTGATGAGAGAGAATCATTGATCGGCTGCCTCCTGCACACTCACTGCTGGGATTGAGCCTACAACCGGAGCATGTGCCCTTGACTGGAATGGAACCTGGGACCCTTCAGTCTGCAGGCCCACGCCCTATCCACTGAGCCGAACCGGCCAGGGCCTCCTTTTCCTTTTCTGTAACCAGCACTGACGTTCAGCGACAGAGCATTGGACCCTGTGCAGCAGGAGATGCAGGGCCCTCCTTCCAAAGGTGTCCAGAGTGTCAAGGTGGTGGCCCGGAGTTCCCACCCTAGAGGGGCCTTGTGAGTGGAGCGCCCTGTGGGACTGCACAGGTTCCTGCCTGGTCACACTTTCCGTTCCTCAGCATTTTCTTAATTTCTATGGGGGTGCATGTAAGGTCATGGAGACCGGCCTTCAATGTGTTCTGGTAAATGAGCAGTCGAGAAAAGCCATTCTTGGGTTTAACAACAAAGTTAAACAATGCGGGGGCGGGGGACCCCCTTGTTTATTTATGTATTTCCCCCCCACAGAAAGCTCCCGGTAACCATGGCAACCAGGGCTCTGCAGCAATGCCTCCAGGCCCAGGAAGCTCAAGGCTGTGCTTCTATGAGCAAAACTGGCTTTGCGTGTTGTTAAATGCTGAGATGCTTTCCTAGGGTTTCCAGTTTGTCCCAGAAAAAGGGACACGAGTGTTAGATATCATGGGGCTGGCACCTCAGCACACAGGCAGCCTGATCAGCGTGACAAAGGGCTCTCGGTGACAGCGGAGTGTGCGTACGCTGTGTGTGTGGGCATCTGTGTCTGTGTCTGCGTGTTGGGGTGAGAGACTGCTGCCCTTAAGAGTGTCATGTTGTGGGGGTAGGAGGAGGGAGAGGAGGCGGGTTGAGCGCATTCTTTCTGGAAGGGTGAGGAGGTGGGTGGCTAGCTGGGCCTCCTGCCCTGGGGGAAGTCAAATAAAAAGCAATGCGGAGGGGGCGGACGTGGGACTGAGTGAAGTGGCATTTCCTGGCCTGGGGCCTGGGGAAGGAATGCTGTGGAGTTTATTTAGAAAGCTTTCAAACCAGCTGGTTATGGGCTATTGCTTTTTTCTTTCTTTTTTTATTTTTATTTTTTACTATTCTAGTTTGTTGCTCTTGTTCTTTCCAAAATCACAAGCTTATGTGGCTGTTTGACCAAAAGCAATGTTCCCAAGAGGCAGTGCCCTGACGTTCCGGAAAATGGAACGTGACTGCGAGAAAGATGATGCCTGGTTCATGAACGGGGATCCTGGGCCTTAATTTACAAAACAAGGAGTTCTTTACAGTTCGGGGACAGGCGGCTCCTGCCCCCCGACACTTGCTATGTCCTCTCTTTACAGTTTGTTATGTCCTCTCTTTTCAGTTTCTGGCCACGTTTCTTTGCTCTTGGAGGAGAGAGGTGGTGGTTTTGAAGTAAAGGAGTTCTGCTTCTGAGTTGAGTCACTGATTTCCAGCGGTTTGACCCAAACTACTTGTACAATTTAGGGGACCCCAGACCTTATGCTCCCCTCCCCAAAAGCACTCCGATCGCAACCGCAGCAAACAGGGCGATTTTAGGCTTGCCGCGCGCATGGCGTTTTCTGCTCTCATGTTTTTCCATAGGACTCAGTGTTCATAATAAATGGTGTCAGCAGCAGGGTCTGCCTTTTCTGAGACAGGAAGGGACAGCACGCCCTTGGTCCTTGACACTGAATGTGGATGTAAATTCCTGCAAAGTACCTTGGCCTGTTCCCCCAGCTGAAGACTCAGAGCCCAATCCCTGCAGGAAGCAGATGGGGGAGTGCCTGGGGCAGCCTGAGGGGACATCAGCAGACATAGGGGTGAGCCTGCTAGAGAAGGGTCCCGGGCTGGTCTTTGTGGTCTTTCTTTGTCCTTCTGCATTTCTGTATCTGTATGTCAGAGGAACCTGGCAACCTTCCTTAACCACTTTTCACAGTGTTCTCATTTGTAACCGCTGAGCCTGTCTTCACAAAGGTGACCTGTGGCCTGCCCTCCGGCTTCACCCTCCCTGTAGACTTGGGTGTCCGACCTGCTGTCCTGTCACCCAGACATGGGGCCTTCTGTGGTTTTCTTCTTGCTTCTCTTACTGACCGTCTGTGTCGTCTCCATTTTCTAGGGTTGGACCTTCCTCTTCTCTATAACCGTCCATGGTTCCCATTGCTCCTAGCATTGCTCTCCCGTAGAACCAAGAATGGGCCACATAGGTATTTTAAGTTGTTTAGTAGCCACATTTTAAAAAATTTAAAAGATACAGCTGAAATGCATTTTAACAACGTATTGTAACTCAGCTCCATATACCCGAAATAGTATCATTTCGACATACAGCCGATATTCAAAAATTATGAACGAGATATTTCACATTCACGTTTTTAAAAGTACTTGAAATCGAGGGTGTATTTTACATCGACATATCCCAAATTACATGCCAAAATTTTATCAAAAACATTCGATCTTGATTCAGAGTTTATTAAATTTGCTGTTGCAAAAATAGATTCACCTACCGGAGGTGTCCCAGACTTACATAAAAGTTTTCTAGTAAATGAATTCCATATTCAGTTTTCAATCTAGATTGCTTAAACTTGAAAACAATTTGAAAATTGAGTTCCCCAGTCATACTGGCTGTATTTAAAGTGTTCAACAGCCTTGTGAGGCTGGTGGCGACCCTATTAACCCAAACAGACAATGTTCCATCCTTCCAGAAAGTTCCATTGGACAGCACAGTCTTATAAAGTCCAAACACCCCAGAAGGACTTTCAAAATGTCCTACAACCCAGCCCCAGCCCGAGGAGCTCTACGTATTGACTTTGTCTTGTGCGTGTCCACTTTCCCGTGCCTCTCTTTCCTCCCACTTTGAAATACATGCCCTTCTCTTCCCCCAGAGAAGCCTCTTTTCATGCTCCGCTTGATGGCAGCGCTTCCTCGAAGGATTCTCCCCTTCTCCCCGCAGCAGAATTAATTGCTGCCTCTGCTTCCCACGGGTCCTAGAAGACCCAGCCGAATGGGAAGGGGCCGCAGGCCGTCGGAGCCCCGGGGCCTCCGGACCGTGGCTCGCTGCCCTGGGAGCTCATATCCCCATTTCTCCTGAGACAGGTTTGAATGGATCTCCTAACAGCAGCCTTGGCCCTGCCCTGTCGGAAAACAGAGCCACACAAAGGACGGCACTGTGTCCTCTCCGCGGCTGCCCTGGGGCTGTGAGCATGGGCCTTCAGACAGGAACACACCCTGGGTACAGGCCGTGTAATTCTAGGCGGGCATCGGCTCCACCAGAAAAAAATCCTTTCTTTGCTCTCACAAAAGGAAATGTTGGCTTTGCTGCTCTGATACTCATTTTTCAAAATGGGAACTCTGTGTGTGCGTGTGTTTACTTTTTAAAAAACTGTAACATACATTCAGAAAAGTGCATAATCATACAACTCAAATTTTCACAAAATTAACGCACCCATGTAACCGCCCCCCCTGAGGAAAGAACATGACCAGCACCCCCCAAAAAGGCCTCCTTCCCACCCCATTCCAGACTCTTCGCCGCCTCCTCGGAGTCACCACTTTCCTATCTTCTAGCCCCATGACTCATCTTGCCCGTTTCGGAACTTCATGTCCAGGGCATCACTCTGTGCATTTTTGGCGTCTGGCTTTTGCGCAGCACTCCGTTCGCAATAGCTTGTGGTTGGTTTTGAATGCCTTTGTCTTTTCTGGCATCGGAAACTTTATTTTTATTGATTTTTTTTTTTTTTTTTTTTTTTACAGAGAGGAAGGGAGGAGAGGGATAGAGAGTTAGAAACATCAATGAGAGAAACATCGATTCAGCTGCTTCCTGCACACCCCCTACTGGGGGTGTGCCCGCAACCAAGGTACATGCCCTTGACCGGAATCCAACCTGGGACCCTTCAGTCCGCAGGCCGACGCTGAGCCAAACCGGTCAGGGCCGGAAACTTCATTTGTAAAAAAAACACAGCGGTTCAAAATGCAGAAAAACACTCAACGTGAAAGACAGGTCCTCGTTGGGTGGTGGTTTGAAGTGTGAAGAACCTTCTGCTCCAGTTCCGTTCGTTGATGTTTGCCCTTGGGGTTTTCTAGGTTTGGGCGATTTTCGGGTGTCATTATTTACCTTTTATCTTTATTTAGTGAATCCTGATTAAGGTGATAATTCTTGGGTCTTGAAAGGATGTGAACTCCCTTTCTGGCTTTTGACCAACGCTGGACGTGAGTCATTTCCTCAGATTTTCTTTTTGTCAGGTAGAAAATTAAAGAAGAGGGTGGAGAAGAGAGAGCGGGATGCCAATTAAGCTGCTTACGTGGTGTCTTCTGGTTTTGCCTAGGTGAAAATGTCTGCTCCAGGATTGTACCAGGCGGCCGCTGGGCCTTCGATCCCCACCGCGCCCCCGACCTATGAAGAGACGGTGGCCATTAACAGTTACTTCCCCACGCCTCCTGCGCCCATGCCTGGGCCCACCACCGGGCTTGTGACTGGCCCTGATGGGAAGGGCATGAACCCTCCTGGATACTACACCCAGCCCGTGTCCGTCCCCAACGCCAATCCAAGTACGTGCGACCTCTCCGCCTCCCTGGTCCCCCTTCCCACCCTGGCCTTGGGGGCTCCGTGAGAATCCTGAGGGCGCCTCTGAGTCTAATCGAAGTCAGCCCGATTTTCATTCGTATGAAATGTTACATACAGTCCCTTAGGTTCCGCATCGGTGAGGCCCATGGCTTTTCCATAATAAAGTACCGTTTATGAGCTTTCTCAAGTCCGCCATAAATCAACCCTTTGGCACTTAGACTGTGCCAGAGAAACCTGGCAATGACAGTTTGCTTTTAAAGACCCCACCCTTCCCGCTGAGGTCTGATCGGAGCTCTGGGCCCTGAGTTCAGGGTGGGAGTAGGAGAGGGAGGAGAAGCAGCCCCACGGGAGGAACGGGGGAGCTGAAACCTGCCCCAGCCCACCAACGCACCCTGGGCAAAGGGTGCTCCCCTGCCTCCCAGCACCTTTATTTTTATATCTGCTCAGGGTTTACTATCCAAAATATATGAAGAACTCATACAGCTTAACACCAAAAAGACAACCCAGTTAAGAAATGAGCAGACAACCTGAAATAACACTTCTCCAAAGAGGACGCACAGGTGGCCAGCAGACAGGAAAATAGGCTCATTGTCACTAACCATCAGAAACACAAATCAAACCCACAATGAAATATCACCTCACACCTGTCAGAAGGGGGGGGGGGGTTCTTTCGAAGCTTGTTCTCTAATCATTGCCTCCCAAACTACTTGAAAAGAAAGCACATGTAAAAAAGTATACCATGTGTAGTGCACAGAGGGCCACATGGCTGAGGCCGCGTGGTGCTGCCGGGAGCAAGCTTGGGGCTCCGTCTGTTGGCACCCGCAGTGCTAAACTCCGGGGCAATCAGGATGTGGGCGCACCGGCATTCATTTGTGTAGCCCAGTGAAGACACCAGTGTGGACACAACACATACAATCCGGTGTGCAAGGCGTGTCTCACTCCCTTTCCCGTGGCACCCCATTGACCCTCACAACTCTTAGGTCACCACTCTCCACATTGAAGTCCCCCTCCAGCATTTCTCTTTGCAGACATAATGAATACAAATAAATGTTCTTGCCACTTCCTTTTCTTACAGAAATGGTAGCGTGCTATACACATGCTGTGTGTGTATATGTATATTCTTTTGTATATATTATTTTTTTTCCCCACTCAACAAAATATCCATATGAGTGCACAGACACCTTTTTCATTCTCTGTTACAGTGCCAGCAGAGTATAATGTCCAGCTTTTGAAATTTTGCCAGCCTGGTCAATAAAAATTTTTTATCTTAGTACAGTTTTAAATTTCATGTACCTTCGGATGAGGGAGCTTTATCATCTTCTCATTTGTTTAAGCCCATCTGTATTTCCTAGTAATAACTCCTCTTTTTGTGGAATGAGCTGGAGCAGGCTCCTATGGTTGCAGACGGTCACGCTGCCAACCCCCTTCTCCCGGAAGCCGGATGTTTCTTCATGCTCTTACATTGATATCGGTCCTCGAAGGACCAACGTGGGAGAGCTGGACTTTGCCCCAAGGGTCCATCCTTCTGGAGAGAAAGGAAAAGGAGTCAAAGGTGATGGGAGGTGGGCTCTGCCTCCGGCATTGGCTCCAGCTTCCCAGACTTCATCGAGTTTTGCTGTTAAATGCTTGAGTTGGGAACAAGCAATATGGTGGCCTGTTGATCATGATTTAGTAACTTCACAGCATCCACAGATGTGACGTTCTCATATCCTTTTCCTTTCCTCGCTTCCTGTCTTCTCTTCTTCCTTCTTCCTTTGTTATTCCATGCCTGTTATTCCGGGTTAGAAGTCTGACAGGTCTCCCCGGGCTGAAATGGGGGTCTAGGCGGGGCTGCCTTCCTTCCTCTGGGCCAGTGGTTCTCAACCTTCTGGCCCTTTAAATACAGTTCCTCATGTTGTGACCCAACCATAAAATTATTTTCGTTGCTACTTCCTAACTGTAATGTTGCTACTGTTATGAATCGTAATGTAAATAAATATCTGATATGCAGGATGGTCTTAGGCGACCCCTGTGAAAGGGTCGTTCGACCACCCAAGGGGTCGTGACCCACAGGTTGAGAACCGCTGCTCTAAGCTCTAGGAGAGAACCCATCCCCTTGCCGGTCCCACTTCCTGGCTCATGGCCCCCTTCCTCCATCTTTAAAGCCACACCAGCAACCCAAGTCCCTGTCACTATCACATTGATAAGGGCAGAAATAGAATACTGGGGGCCAGCTGTAATTTTAAGAAATATTTATCATGCTCCGTTAACCATGATGGTTTTGTTCTGATTAAAGAGGGCACATGCTAACCCTGCTGGGAGCTCACCTGGAAATGCAGCCCTTCCTCCCCATCAGGGAGCTGCCTGTTATCATGGCAACATTAACAACCTTGTTGCAGAAACCAGAGCTGCCAGCCCTTTGAAGACCACCAGCCTTTGCAAATCTCCAGACTGTAAACTGCCCATTTGGCATAACTTTTTGCCTACTTACTAGCCCTTTGAAGACCACCAGCCTTTGCATACCCGCAGGCCTTGCAGATCTCCAGTCCCCATTACCTGTTGCCTACTTTCCCATGTAATCTTTGTCCTACCCACTATAAGCAGCTGGCTGGGGTGGGGGGCAGAGCAGATTTTTGTGGGTGACCTGCTGCTCTCCCATCCTGCTGGCATTCCTGGAATAACTACTCATATATGACTCAGCCCTATCTCTGCTTAATTGGCTCAAGTAGTGACAGGCAGCCCGGATCCATTGATTATCCGGTTACAGCATCACATCGTTGCTTCATGGCCTTGCCCTTGGGGACTTCCTGCTGCCTAAGGACACAGCTGATTCAAAATCACGAGCAGCTCAGGAGGAAACCGCCAGGTCAGAGAGTGGTCCCCGGAGTCTGCCCGGGGCCTCACCCCCTTGGGCCTCAGTTTCCCCATCTGTAAGTAAGTAAGGGCTCATCAGGTACCTACATCAGTGAGTTCTTAAAATGAGATAAAGTTTTATGAGTAATCATTTCATAAAAGTGCTCAAGTAACTTGGACCCCTTGAGAAGGGAGAGGACAAGATAACTTGATTATTTTAGATCACTCTCTGCTCAGTAAATAACTCATTCTTGCACCCCCCTGCCCCCCCCAAAGTCTTAATAAAACTGACCCGTAGGTACTAGAGTAGGCTTCAGTGCTGCTTTTCTGGGAGGAGCCTCTTCTATTCCTCTGAGAAGTGTTAGGCTCACTTAGCCCTGGGCGGCCGTTCGTTTCCTCTTAGGGCAGTGGCATTCTGACAGCCCAAGGAAGGACCAGGAGGAAGTCCCTGTGACAGAAATATGAGCTTCAGCAACTTTGCCAAATACCAAAAAGAACATGTAAAGCTCTGAGGGCTTTGGGACTGACATGCCTAGATTCTCTCCTGATTGTGAATGTCTGTACACGTTGGCCCCATTTCTGGAAATCTGCCACTTTCCTCTTTCTCCCTTTTTGTCATCCCCCCTATTTTTTTAATATTAGATTTGTGTGTGTTTTTTTTTAATATATTAGGCTTGTGTGTTTTTTAATAGCGCATACATGTCAGAGCAAAGTGCTGCACATACAACTACAAGTCATTTTGGCGGGGAAGCTTGTGAAAAATAAATCCACAGGCGAAGGTGCTCCAGCCCCTGGCAGCGGCTTCCTGGTGGTGGCTGCCCAATTTCTGCAGCCTCGGGCCTCCCCACCTCATTTTTTAAATTCTGGTAAAATATGCAACATAAAATATATCATCTTAAGCATTTCCAAGTACAAGTTCAGTGGCACTAAGTACATTCATGTCGTTGTGCCACCACCACCACCACCCATTTCCAGAGCTTTTCCATCTTGCAAAACTGAAACTCCATTAGCTCCCCCTTCACCACCCCCCAGCTTTTGACGACCACCATCTACTCTCTGTCTCTATGAATTTGACTGCTCTGGTGCCTCCTAGATGAGGAATCCTGCAGCATGTGTCCTTTTGTGTCGGGCTTATTTCACCAAGCATAACATCCTCACGGTTCATCCATGTTGCATATGTTAAGGCTGAGTAATACTCCATTGTATGGATGGACCACATGTTGCTTATCTGCTCCTCCATCGATGGACATTTGGCTCTTGAAACAGAGCTGTGGTGAACAGGGGTGTGCAGATAACTGTCGAGGCCCTGCCTCTACCTTGTCTTCTAGCAGATGCTTCCTGGTTTACTAATCGGGCTCTCTCCTCTTCCCTCCCACCAGTTACCGTGCAGACGGTCTACGTGCAGCAGCCAGTCTCCTTTTTCGACCGCCCGGTCCAGATGTGTTGCCCTTCCTGCAACAAGATGATTGTGACCCAGCTGTCCTACAACGCCGGTGCCCTCACCTGGCTCTCCTGCGGGAGCCTGTGCCTGCTCGGGTAAGTCAGGTCCACTTGGAACCCCGGCTCTCCCACGTCCCCTCTCGCAGGATTTCTCAGCTGTTGCACATACTTCTGTCTTGTGGGGTGCCATCCTACGCATGTAGGATGTTGAGCAGCATCCCTGGCCTCTACCCACTGTGTGCCAGTAGCGCCTCCCCAAATCGTAATAAGTAGAAATCGTCTGTTGAGAACCACTGCTCTTGAACATATCAAAGCTTGGAAGTTGCTGTCCCATCATTTCTTCTTTTTTGTTTGTTTGCTTGTTTGTTAATCCTCACCCGAGGATAGTTTTCCATTGATTTTTAGAGAGAGTGGGAGAGAGAAGAGAGAAGGAGGGAGAGAGAGAGGGGGGAGAGAGAGAGAGAACCATCAATGTGAGAGAGACACATCAATTGGTTGCCTCCTGCACGCGCCCCAACCAGGGATGGGGATTGAACCTGCAATCCAGGTATGTGCCCTTGATTGGGAACTGAACCCGAGACCCTTTGGGTCGAGGGCTGATGCTCTAACCCAGTGATGGCGAACCTTTTGAGCTCGTCGTGTCAGCATTTTGAAAAACCCTAACTTAACTCTGGTGCCGTGTCACATATAGAAATTTTTTTGATATTTGCAACCATAGTAAAACAAAGACTTATATTTTTGATGTTTATTTTATATATTTAAATGCCATTTAACAAAGAAAAATCAACCAAAAAAGTGAGTTCACGTGTCACCTCTGACACGCGTGTCATAGGTTCGCCATCACTGCTCTAACCTCTGAGTTACACCGGCCAAGGCCCATAATTTCTTGCTCATCTGCTCACACCACTCCCTGTATGTAGTGACCAGCATAGCATCCCCTTGCATCTGTATAGCGTGATACCTTAGGGATTTCCTTTTCTTCTAGAATTTCGTGACCTAAATAATAACGTTTGCCTGGCTCCGAGAGAAGCTTTAAACATCTGCACGTCAAAATACTCGATAGTCATCTCTTTAAAATGCCTCATCCTTTTATGAGCCCAAGTATTTTTCCCATTGCCTCCACAAGGGGATGTGTAAATATTTATGTCTGCACCAAGGGTATTTTATTGAAAGAGACAATAGTTTCTGTTCTGAGAGAAACATGAAGATACACAATTTAATTCCCCCCCCAAACAAATAAAGGCAGCCTCCTGATTCCTGGCCATGGACGCTCCCCGAAAACCATGGGCCAGAAGGTTGAGAACCACTGTGTTAGGGCCTGATGTACCTTTTTGGCCTCCACCAGCCAAACTGCTTCAGTCGATAACCTGCTCCGCGTGGGCTGTGTCTGTCCCCCAGGTGCATCGCGGGCTGCTGCTTCATCCCTTTCTGCGTGGACGCCCTGCAGGACGTGGACCATTACTGTCCCAACTGCAAAGCTCTCCTGGGCACCTACAAGCGTTTGTAGGACTCGACCGGACCTGGAGGGAGCCGTGCGTGGCAGGAAGTCCTTCCCGACTCTCACCCGCTCCACCCCCGACGGAGGGCCCACCTCGGTGGTCTCATCTCTCTGTCTCTTCGTGTCTTCTTTTTTTGGGGGGAAATATCACAAAAGCAACACACTTCCCAGACCCCAGAAACTGCTGCTTGGAGTCGTGCACAGGACATGCAAAGACATTGACCTTGAGGACTGGGTCAAGGGTTTCCTGCCTGCCCACGACCCAAGCCGTCCGTCTAACTGTGATGGTTGCCCTGCCTGAATACCTTCTGGTGATTGGCCTTGCCAGCTTCTTTCTCACCTCAGTGGGCCTTTCCGGTGGCAGCTCAGACTGAGAAGCCACAGGTGGCCTTATTTTTGAGACCGTTCTGGCCTGAATAGGACTCAGCCGACCGGTGGTGCTGCCATCGCACCCATCTGATCTCACGTCCGATGGCAGAAATCTTGCCTTAAGGCCTTGGCTCTCAGATTCCGTAACTGCAGGCTTTCTGCTCGCACAAAAATTCACTTTCATTTTCTACTTCATTTTTAACGACCTGGAGGGACCCCTCACAGCCCCCAGACCCACACCCACGAGGTCATAGATGCGTGCTAGGGGTACGGAGCTGGCCCTCGTCACCGAGCAGCTTCCCTCGGTTCTGGGTGCCAGACCCTCAGCCACTTTTCATGAAGGGCTTTTTCTTGTGGAGAAATTATTTGTATTAACAGTTTTTATGACCTTTTGGCCTTAAACACCTTGGAACATAATTTTGACAGAAGGGATTTATAGAACCATTTTCCGTGACCATATCATCGGTGTCATTTTCCCTTTTGCCAGGGCACTCTCATATGCATATTTTTTTCCTTAATAGAAAAAGCAATGGGTCATCGCATCCCCTGCCTTTCCTTGGGTTTTAGTGTGGTCCTTACGAATCTCTATCAGGGAACTCAGAGCGGGGCCCCTTTGGGGTTCCTGGGGATGTGTTTGGAAAGACAAGGAAAAGCATGTGTGAGCACATCGGGTACCACGGTGCTGAAAAGCTTGGGACCTGAGTGATAGCAAGGGAATCTAAAGTCTGATTTTAGTTTTCAGAAATGGAATTTGTTGTGTAACCTCAGGAGACATGATTTCTAGGACTCGCGCAGCGAGCCAGGGTTCTCGGGGCGCTGCTGTGTCATCTCTGAAGTCAAGACAAAGCCGGACTCGACTTCCCAGAGTCCCCATTTTGATAATAAATAGGTCCAAGGAGTGCATGTGAATAATATTATTTAGAAACCAAGCCTCGTCCTTGAATGAAAATCTGTAATCGGCTGAAAATTAGTCATAATCGTTGATTCAGTGTATCCGTTTGATGTCTTGAAAGTTTTCAGTAATTATTTTCTCAACGAATATGGATACTACATCGTACTTTGGTGTTTATCTGCTTTTAAAAAAATAAAGGCTTTGGTTCACTTGGTGAACTATTTATCAGTTCTTACCGTGCGAAGAAAGGTCTCGTTCTTCTAGCCCTCGTGACAAAGGACCTGTATTTGCTCCATCGCAGTAGGAAGTCCTTCCGGATAAAAACTTCAGACCTGCTGCGCATCCCGCGATGTCACGATGCCGATGGATGTGGAGTTGGGTGGGTTGCTGGTGAGTCAGATTTGAACATTAGGCTATTGGAACTCAATAGGCGTCATCGATGGCAGCCAGCCACAGCTTTCAAGTTTTAATAAAACGCACAGAAGAAAGCTGTCCCCATTCATTCTCCGAACAAAACACGCTTTGTTCATTGGTCAGGGTGGTGGTGGATGCTAAAAGGAGAGCTTTGTCATGCGCAGGGAATGTGAATGTCATCCTCCCTTCCCTACCTGGCGACTGGGCTTCATTTTGGCAGGTGCAGGGAAATAATGTCATCTCGGTGTGGGGTATGTTGTCACGGAAACCCATCTTAGGGTCTTGAAAAATTGCTCCTCACTCAGTTCTGATCATGCGTTTTTCTTTTCACTTGACAAAATGGAAAGCCATGCATATTCAGCAGTTTTGTTCAGATGGTGGTATAGTAAGGGTTTTCAAGCTGTTATTAATTACACATGCAAAGTCTTCAAATCAAGAGCCCTGCTTCAAGGACCATAACATATCCTGTGGGACTTTTAATGTCAGATGCCTGGAGACTCCCTCTTGAACCTGGGCGCACCTGAGCATTTATTGGACATGCCACTTCATTGTTCAATGTACAGGCTCACTCATATGTTTGTACAAATGAAAGGCTCTTTTGTTCTGCCACTGTTTGTTAGGGATGTTGGAGTTAGCTTGTTGCAAAGACTGAATCACATTCAATTAATAAAAGTGCTTTATATCTATTTGGACCTTAATGAAGAAATTTACCAATTTCTAAACCCCAAATGGCTGTGTTTTGTATTTACTCTTAGTCCATCTAGGTGAGGTAAGAGTTGGTTTGTGTCTTGTTAACAAAATCTACTCAGTTATTGTTTGCATCTGGCTAAGCCAGCTTGAAGCACATGACCGATTCCTGGCAGATCACAGCACTGCCCATGAACATGTTTTTTCTGGGACAACTGGCTTCCCAGGGCTACCGAGAACTCTTCTAATAGGCACTGAACTGTTTCTAAATGTGGCTGCCTTCACCATGTGGCCTCGGTTTTCTTCCCAGTGACGTTAAAATCCTTCCGACTTTCTGGGGTCAAAGATCTCCGTTAGGAGTAAGTGTAGAGCTTGTGCTTTGACCAAGTTCCCATTAGCATTTGAAGCCTTTTAAAGTTATCTCCTGCACTTATGACTCACAGGTTTACAATGAGTCGTCTGTTTTTCAGAGGCATATGAGGGAATTGAAAGTAGACCCAGAAAGGGCGATGAAAGAGGAAAGGAGATTTTCAGTCCAAGAATTTTATAGAAACATGATTCTGGGGCTCAGAAAGATTAAACACACACACACACACACTTCGTGGCCAAGTACACAGTCCAGTGCATTTACTTAACTGTTTTGTGACTGTTCTCTGTAGTATTAGGAAAATGTTCACATGTTTAAGTACCCTTTGCCCCCTAAAAATAAACTTTTCTTAGAGCAGTTTTAGGCTTATGGCAAATTGAGAAGAACAGAGTTCCCATATACCCCACACATGCCCAGACTCCCCCATTATCAAATCCTCCCGAGTGGCCCATGGGGCACAACTGACGAACCTACATTGATTCACCATTCCCCTAAGTCCATAGTTTGCATTGCAGCTCACTCTGGCGTATGTGCAGTTGGATAAATGTATAATGACGTGCCCATCATTACAGAGGCATACAGAGCGTAGCCCAATGCCCTGGAAGTCCTCTCTTCCACCTGTTCATCCTCCCAACCCCAAGCCCCTGGCAACCACTGATCTGTTTATTGTCTCCACAGTTCGGCCTTTTCCCGAAAGTCATACAGGGGGAACAGGGTTTGTAGCCCTTGCAGCCTGGCTGCTTTCACCCATGCATTTACATCTTCTCAGTTCATTTCTTTCTAGCGCTGAGTAACGTTCCATTGTCTGGGTAAACCACACGTTTAAGTACTTTTGTTGTTGTTCATCTTCACCCGGGGGTATTTTTCCATTGATTTTTGGAGAGAGTAGAAGGGAGGGGGAGAGACAGAGAGAGAGGAACATCGATGTGAGGGAGACACATCGATTGGTTGCCTTCCGCAGGTGCCTGCAACCAAGGTACGTGCTCTTGATGGGAATTGAACTGGGACCCTTCGGTCCGAGGGCCAACGCTCTAACCACTGAACAATCTGGCTAGGGCACATTTAAGTACTTTTAAAGTTCTTCACACCGTAGTGTCTCAAGTGATCTTGTACTGGGTTTCCCAAATGGGCAAAATCAACTTAGTGTGTCAATACCATGTGTCATCATCGTGTACGACGAAACCATAGAGTTTTGAAACCTGTGGTTCTACAGCTGTGTATGTGTGGGGTCACAGGGCAAAGGGAGCGCCAGGGGCAACACCTGGTACATCATACAGCTGTGGTTCTCCTGTTTCTCGCTGACTGACTCCGGCTGTCTTCGAGGTGTTGTATGGCCCGGGTACCAAACCCAGCCCTGCCTGGGAAGAGTGAGCAGTGGGCTCAGCACTGCCCTGCCAACTTTTCTGGTGGCTTCTTTAAAACAAACAAACAAAAAAACCCACTGAAATTCGCCTAACATTAAAGTGTGTAATTCAATGACATTTAGTACAGTGCACAACCACCACCAAAACATTTTCAGCAGCCCACCTCCAGCCCCATACTTCACCCCTCCCTGCCCCTCAGCACCTGGCAGCCACCAGTCTCCCTCTTGTTCTTCGGATCTGCTTCCTCTAGATCAGTGATGGCGAACCTCTGACACGTGTGTCAGAGGTGACACGCAAACTCATTTTTTTGGTTGATTTTTCTTTGTTAAGTGGCATTTAAATACATAAAATAAATATCTAAAATATAAGTGTTTTACTATGGTTGCAAATATCAAAAAATTTCTATAGGTGACACAGCACCAGAGTTAAGTTAGGGTTTTTCAAAATGCTGACACGCCGAGCTCAAAAGGTTCGCCATCACTGCTCTAGCTATTTCCTATAAACGGAACCATATACTATGCGCCGGCTGTGTCTGGCTTCTTTCACTTCCATCATGTTTCCAAGGCTCATCCAACATAGCAGGTGTCACTGCTTTGTTCCCCCCACCCGCCCCCTTTAATATCTTTATTGATTTTAGAGGTGGAGGAGGGGAGAGAGAGAAGGAGAAACATCGATGTGAGAGCAGAACGTTGATGGGCTGCCTCCCGCACATCCCTTATCCGGGATCAAGCCTGCAACCCGGGCACGTGAAGAGAACCGGGAGTAGAACCGGCAACCTTTCAGTGCACGGGCCGTCGCTCAACCAACTGAGCCACGCCGGCCAGGCGTGTGCTTTTGTTCCTTTCAGTGGAAGAATAACTGTATGTTTACACCATATTTTGTTTATGCCTCACCCACAGATGACTATTTGGCCATGCCCACCTTTGGGCCAGCACAAGTAATGCTGCTGTGACCGCTGGTTCACGGGTTTTTGTGTGGACGTATGTTTTCATTCTCTTGGATGTGGAATTGCTGAGTCATGGGAATTCAGTTTAACTTGTTGAGGAACTGCCCGGTGCCGTCTTAAATGTTCCCGATTGCACAGCCGCATCTGGCAAGACTACCCCTTCGGAACCGCCCTGGCATAGAGAACTTTGCCATCTTCCATCACGAGAGCCATCGGAGCAGCCTGGTGGCAACAGAGCTGGATTGAGGGCAAGATCCGGCCTCTGCCTGCCTCCACTCAGCTCATCTGGACCCTACTCGGCTCTCCTGGGGCTCCCACTGAGCCTGGAAAGTGAGGAGGGGGTGGCCGCAGCTCAGCCCCTCTGCGTGGACCCTCTTTGGAGAAGGTGCTGTGAGCTCAGAAACAGTCCTCAGATGTCCTGTGGGTCCTGTTTACTTGTACGCACAGCGCTGCCTACAGCAGCAAGGAGGGGACGCTGCCCCGCCCTGTGGAAGTGGTGGTGGTGGTGGTGGTGGTGGTGGTGTGTGTGTGGGGGTGGGGTGGGAACATTAAACAAGAAAACCTACCATTACAAACCAGGGAGGAAAAGTACAGGAAAAAGCCTATTGTAGGGACTGTAGGTGGGGGGTGGAGGGGGGTACCTCATCCTTTAAAATTATCAAGTCATTCTGCCGTTTTCTCCTGCTGAGGAGGCAGCCGGTGGGAGTCCACGCAGCGGAGTCTGAACGCTGCACGAGGCGGGTTCCCCTGTCCTGTGTCGCCCGTGATGGAGTGTGCGGCGTCTCCCTCTCTGGGCGGAATCCCCAGAGCCTTTCCGTTTTCTCTGGAAGAGTGACAGCCCTAGAGACGGAATCTTTCTCTGGCGCGAGGTCTTCTGATTTCCCGTTAGTGAGCAGGAAGGGCCAGGCTGGCTCCCAGTCAGTGGGTGGATTCCTGTGGGTGTGACTGCCCGGCCTGCTCCGCAGAACTGCCCCACCTGCCCGGAGGGCCTGAGTTCTCCCAGGTGTCCCCGAGAGAGGGTCCTCCTCTTGAGCCTGGGCTCACCTGACCAGACCTGCCCCCCAGGGGGGACACTGGAGAAAGGGAAAGTGGGCAACACCTGACAGTCACTGTCAGCTCTCGGCGGGCGGGTTTCTGTGGCCTTGTTCTCAGGGGTCCCCGGCCGAGAGGAGCAGGAAGGGAGCAGAGGCAAGAACACACGCAGCCCTTCAGGAGCGTTTTCTAAGCTATTGCCTGCATTTCTCGTTCATGTCTGAGACTGAGGGTAGGTGCCCTTGACCAGGAATCAAACCCACCCTCTGGTGTGTGGGCTGACCCTCTACCAGTGGTTCTCAACCTTCCTAAAGCCTCGACCCTTTAATACAGTTCCTCATGTTGTGGTGACCCCCAATTTCATTGTTACAAATTGAACATAATTAAAGCATAGTGATGAATCACAAAAACAATATGTAATT